ATATGAATGGTAGGAAGGTAGGTAGATGGGATATTTTGTTTTGTTAATATTATGCGAACGAATATCAAAAAATATAAGTATTATATAAATAAAGTGGAATACATAGTGGCGGTGGATCATATGATGAAGTCGGAAATTAGAAAAAGATTGGGAAGTGGGTAGAATTGGATGAAGATTTTAATGGTGACTCTTACACTTCGAAATAAGTCACTTGTAGTGGTGAATATAATATGAATGGTATTAAGATAGGTCGATGGGATATCATGTATTATCAAAAATATTAGATGGAATATATATAAATGTAAGTAAATATAATTTACAAAGGGGAAATGTATATCTAAATAATTAGTGGTGGTGGATCATATGATAAGGAAGGAAATTAGACAAAGATTGGAAATTGGGTAGAATTGTAGGAAGGGTTTAATAATAATAAATAAATCACTATTAATGGTGAATATAATATGAAAGGTCAAAAACTAGGTATTTGGAAAGAATTGAATTTGAATTAATAATTAGAATTAATGAATTTTGATATTTGAAAATAATTTTAATTATAAATAAAATAATATAGTTCATTTATAAATTTTTAATAACCACATTTGCTTTTATACTTGAAAAGTTGAAACCAAGAGTCATCCTAATTAAACCAAGCTGTGACAACCTAAATCAATCTTACCTCTACTTACCGGTATATTATCATATTAATTTGTGATTAAAAAATAATTTATAATGCAGTTGTTTTAGTGTTAAGAAAAAGTTTGTTTTATCCTCTCTCTTTAAATTCCTGACTCTCATGAATAAATAAATTAGTAAATACCAACAGATTCAAGATCGTCTCTTCTTGATTTTTCGTTGCCTTTCAATGAGTTTATTGAGGCATAACGAGTTGTACATATCATATCTTTATTTTATCTGATTTCTAAATGTCTTCCATCCTAAATAAAAAGTTTAGATAGTTCAAATCAATTATATGTTATTTTTTTTGATGAACTACAAAATCTTTCTATTATGTCGTTCTTTAAGTAACATTATCATCTATTAACCTGTCACCCCAACCTATCTTATAATTAAAGGAAAATATTTTTTCTCCTTTTGAACAGTTTTTTTTTTTTCAAGAAAATTTAGTTTTTACAAAAAATATTATTATCAATATAATCTGACTGCTGAAATAAACTTATAATGGGCCAAATCCAACCCAGAATTTTAGTAATGCTAGGATTAATGGTTAGCTAGATATTAATTATCTTTATTGTATTTTAAATATAATCATAATTTAAAAAATCTATATTTCATACCAGGATTATCTCAATTACAAGTCTTTATTTATATATCTAAAATTATGCCTCCTTAATGGGAATTAATTTATTATAGTTAAAATCAAATTGGTGAAGGTTAATTGAAATTCTCTCAACAGTACTATAATTTTCAAAAAGTACATTAAAAATGGCTTTTTCTACTAAAAATATTTGTACAAAAAGAGGTGTTTTGTCTGTATATAGTTTATAATTTTAATTATTAATACTGAAAAAATAAACTATTTTTATCATTTTCTTT